AGCATTAAGGACACCGTTTTTTTGGAATAAGTGTATATTAGAAGCGTGTATAAAAAATGTATATTTAAGGATACATTAAATAATGTATATTAAAATGTGGGGAGAAGAACATGGGACACCAAGGAAGTTGGGTAGGATTTACACCCTGAGGATGGGGTAGAGGTGAAAAGTCAAACAAAAAGCTGAAAGTGCCTTCCCCATATGAAGGGGAACATGAGTAACATTCCTCCATTTTCATGCTCTCCCAAGATCGATTTGATGAAGTTTTAATCCGACATCAGGTGAAATACCTGGGCCTGATGGAGAACCTGCGAGTGCGCAGAGCTGGCTTCGCCTACCGAAGGAAATACGAAGTTTTCTTGCAGAGGTAGGATGCCCTTGGGCTTCCCTGCCTTGTCCTGCAGTGTTGTGGCTGGGGAGGGTGTGAGCAGCAAACAGGCAGCCCCTGAATCCAAGAGATTTTCCCAAGGGAGAGAGGAGGATCTTCCCTTCTTCCCTTCCAGGGCACTGCACAGGCTGGGCTTTCTCCTGTTAAGGTTTCTCCTGCTGTCAATTTACAGGTACAAATCCCTCTGTCCAGAAACATGGCCCACGTGGGATGGACGGCCCCACGACGGAGTGGCTGTGCTGGTGAAACATCTTGGCTACAAACCAGAGGAATACAAAATGGGACGGTTAGTTCCTGTATTTTCTTAATTTGGGATTGTGAATTATTGGAAGTCAGCGCCAGTGCTTTTAAATAGGGCTTCTCTGTCTAATGGGTGGGGAAAAGATTAGAGGTCCCAAAAGGGATGCTAAGGACAGGAAGCAGACTTCTCTGGCATGCTAAACATAACTCTGCATTTCTATTTCTAGAACAAAGATTTTTATCCGATTTCCCAAGACTTTGTTTGCAACGGAAGATGCTCTGGAAGTTAGGAAGCAAAGTCTTGGTGAGTCACAGCACAGAAGCTTCATGGACAGCTAGCTGTTTTGTGCTTCTTATTTAAAAAAAAAAAGCCTTTCCTAACAACAAAAAAAATCTCATGTTTGGTCGCAGTTTCAAATTGCTCTTTCTCTTGCCATTTCAGCAACAAAAATGCAGGCCACATGGAGAGGTTTTTACCGACGGAAAAAGTTCTTGCACATGAAACACTCAGGTATGAGAGAACTGAAACTGCAGTAGTCACCTGCATAGCTTGAAAGGGCCACTGTGGTTTTAGAGGAGAGGTCAGAGATGACTTGTGTTTGCTGCTCAATCACCAGTTGAGTTTTTATTGACATTAGTTATTTATTCATTGTATCATATAGAAAATAAGTTATATTCTTTCCGATATACCACTGAAAAGACTCATTTTTGGGAGGGGCTTTCTTGAGCCCTCTTCATTTTCAGCTCATATACAGAGTCAATATTTATATTAAGGAGCTTGCTCAGTGGGAAAAATCATGGTTTTTATTATTTCTAGCAATAACCATCCAGTCGTGGTGGCGGGGAACCTTAGGACGCCGAAAAGCTGCCAAAAAGAAGTGGGCAGCAGAGACTATTAGAAGGTGCGTTAAAAAAAAAATTAAAAATCCATCCATTGAGTACTTACTGTCTAACAACAAGATGCTTAAGTGCTTGGAATCTTTCAATAGCCATGACACTTTTTTTTTTTTTTTTTATAAATAAATCTCAGGAAGCTGGCGTGTCTGTTATTTGAAAGCAGGCTATTTTGTGACATTTGAGTATGTGTGCCTGAAGCCAGGGAAGGCTTTTTTTGGCTCCCCTGCTAGCAGATGCAGCAGAGAAAATTTGGAAACTAGATTTCCATATTTTATTATTGTGGAAACATCCCTTTTGGCAGTCTGCAGCTCCGAGTTATCCATTGGTACTTGCCAGTTCTGGGATTCCCTAATGAAACTCAAGTTCCCGGTTCTCATAAACTTCAGTTCCTTTTTCCTCTCAGTGTTGATGCTAATTTCAAAGACTTGTCCCAGTGCATTTAATGCCCCCAACCATCCACCCACTTTAAATGTTAACTCACCATTTACCCTCCCTGTAGGTGAAAGCCCCCTGGGGACCCAGAGCTGATGGGATTAGGAGAGCCCTCTATCAGAGTAACCCTTTTCTTTTCTTTTTCTTTTCTTTCCCTCCCCATCAGGTTCATTAAAGGTTTTATTTACCGGAACTACCCTCGCTGCCCAGAGAATGAGTATTTCCTTGATTACATCCGCTTTTCCTTCCTGATGAACCTTAAGCGTAATTTACCAAAGACAGTTTTGGACAAATCATGGCCAACTCCTCCTCCGTCGCTCTGTGAGGTAGGCAGCACCAGCAGACAACAAGAAGGGCTTTGTCACTTGATCAAAAATAAGATTGCAGAAACCTCCAGTTATCGTATCCAAAGTCCCCTGATTGCTGGATCATAGCAAAAAAGGGAATAACCAGGTAAAGGGGAATATTCACCAGTATTTATTCTGCATTCTGAATCAGCTGAGAAATATTGCAGGGCGGGCTTTCTTAAAAGAGAGTAGGAAATAAACTTCCTATCATTTATTTCTAAAAATTATTAATAAAACACTTTTAATTCAGTCTTAGATTTTCTGCAAGTCCTTCTGTCTTTGCTTAGACTCTTGGGTTGACTTTGTAACTGGAGCTATTTGCCCTTACTCTCTGCCTTCCCCCTCAGGCCTCCCAGCTGCTGCGGCAGCTGTGCATGCAGAACATGGTGTGGAGCTACTGCAAGAGGATCAGCCCCGAGTGGAAGCAGCAGGTAGGGCGCAAATCTGCAACTCCTGCCCAATTACTCTGATCCTCTTGAGAGCAAAAACAGATTCTCAGAGTGGAACGAGAGGAATGAAGGGACTGTGAGAGAGGGAAAGGAATTCCTGAATGGGAAAGGAGTTCCTGAATGGGAAAGGAATTCCTGAATTCTTCTCTGCTTGGAATGTTCTCAATTTTTACCTTATAAACAAAAGACCAGAAAAGGAAAGATGGAGCTGAAGGGAATGTGTGGAAGATAAAACATCATATAAATATTTTAATATGTTATATAAACATTTGTATATTCATGCCCCTATATAATTTCTATATTGAATTGCCATGTTATTCTTCCTGTGAAAGATAAAAAAAATCTAAGCAGCAGGATCTTCCTGCTTGCATCATATAAAGCAGAGTGAGAATCCAGCAGGCACAGAACTAGTCTTTTTCCAAACAGGCAAGTTATATGAATTATTATTCATATAATGGGCTGTTCCAATGTTTTTCCAGTTGAAGATGGAAAATTATATTGAAATTTGAGTCCGCTTAGTCCTAGGGGTGAGTTCTTTTCATAGTGAAAAGCTCAGCAAAGAGAGATAAGGGTAAATGTATTTGTTGAGTTTAAAGGTAAATATTGATAGCTCTCAAACAGTTACAAGCTGTTTTTTTTTTTTAATATTGCATTATTGCTGAAGTATATTGCTTCTGAAAACCAACATACTAAGCACCTGTAATGATAAACTGTAGATCAGCTAGTGTCATTAAGCCTGTCATTAAGGACACGGGATTAAAAGCTGCCATCACTAAATTGGAGGTGGAAACGGAGCAGGATGCTCCCCCAGAAGCAAACCAGCCCTGTTGAGACCGAATTTCCAATTCCTTATCTCACCTCCTGCCTACGCCGCAGTGCTGTCCGCTTGCCCTCCCAGAGCAAAGGGAATTTCTCGTTTCCTTTGTTCTTCCAAGGAAACACGGCAGGAGCTCAGGGCTCTAGTGCCAGGGCGGGTGAGTGTTCCCTCTCCCAGGGCCGGTCCTCCGGGATCCAGGATCGAGGTGACTAATGCTCTAAACGGGAGCTCCCAGGCCCGTGTGGCCCAAACGGAGTCACCCTGTGGGGCAGAGGCTGAGGCAGAGCTGAGCAGATGGGGGAGTTCCCTGACCACGTTACACAGCAGGGGCGTAATGTTTTTGTATTTTAGTAAAGATGTTGACCAGCTTAAAAGGCTTCAGGAAAAACAATATGTGAAACATGTGGGAAAAGGAAGAGGTTAAGAGAGTCTCTGCACTGGAAGATTTGAGACTCTTTGAGCTAAGAAAGGCAGTAACCAAATGCAGAGAAAGGTGCCACAGATCTGTAAACTCAAACCTGAACTAGGATGAAAGGTTTTGAAAGAGGGAAGAAGGCAGAAATCAGGCAGCTGAGAGACTGTTTTTCTGCCAGCCCACTCTGTAAAGAGCAGGTAGCTGTGGAAAGGATAGGGAATATTTTGTGTAATTTTCTACCTAGTATGAGTCACGGGGTCAGAACTAGAGAATTATTGTTAGTCAAACATTTTTTTTTGTTTAAAAAGAGTTTTCATACTAAAAAAGAAAGAAAAATACATCTCTTGTCCTTGCAGCTGGAACAAAAAGTGATTGCCAGTGAGATTTTTAAGGATAAAAAGGACAATTATCCTCAGAGCGTTCCTAGACTCTTCATCAACACTCGACTTGGTGAGTAGGTGCTGCATATCTGAACAGGAAGAAAGAGGGACTCATCTACTCTTTTCTTCCTAGATATTTCTTTTTCTGACACCTCCTCTTTGCTTTTCATTTAGGAAATGAGGAGATAAATGCTAAAGTCCTGCAGGCTTTAGAAAACGAAGCAATTAAGGTGAGATATGTGTCCTCCTACTTTTGTTAAGATCTTAGAATTAGTCAGCAGACTTGTAATCTGTATGGGAAGATTGCGCTTCCAAATAAAATGTATTAAGAATTTGCTGTTAGAGTAAGGCCAGAATTCCGAGGCTTCCAACAAAGCACGGAGGTCGGTGCCGCTTGCGAGCGCTCCGGGCTGGAGCAGGGAGCTGCCTCCGCCGCAGGCTCCGGGCTCAGTCCCTGCTAACACTTTCCAGTACGCGGTGCCGGTGACCAAGTACGACCGCAAGGGCTACAAAGCGAGATCCCGGCAGCTGCTCCTGACCCAGAACGCGGTCGTCATCGTGGAGGAATCCAAAATCAAGCAGCGGATCGACTACGCCAACCTGACAGGTGGGCCTGACACCACGCACGGGCTTGGGCTGGCTTAGTTATGGCCACGCTAAAGACTAAGGTCTTTTACCATTCAGGTAAAAGTAAAAAAAAAAAATAATTTGTGTTTGTTCTGGTCAAGACTTGACCTGATCCCAATAAGCACTCTAAGGTTTGTGATGCCTGAAGCTGCAGAGGGACCTGCAAAGATCACTCAGTCTCACAGCAAAAATCCCTCTGTACCAAAGTCCTGTCTCACTTCCACATTTAAAGGGGAATTAAGCCCTCTATGTATTTGATACTGATGTCATACAGGGAGTAAGAGAGGAAAACCTTGTTGGGGTGGAGAAAAACATTGTCTTTGATGCATTGTAGTCACTGCTTGGCTTTCTCATCTGAAACCTCTCAGCTGCAGCTCTCGGCATTGCTGTAGTCCTCTTTAGAGCCAGGTTTGGTGTTAAGAATTGCATTAGGGCAATGTGGAAGCGCTCAGCTGTCGGCATTTAAAATGTTTTCCAAGAGCAGCCGCGCTTCAGGGGCCTGGGCCTCCCAAAAGGCACTTACTGCAGCGCGGTACAGCCGGCGGCTGAGAGCTGAACAGCTAACGCAGCGTCACGATGCTAAACAAAATCCCCAGATAAACTGGGAAGAAACAGACCCTGCTGCACCACAGCACTGTGTTCCATAATTAATCCACCTGCCCGAGGGAGGTGTGTTGGTGTTTTAGCACTCGCCATCACGGTGTTACAGAGGGTGATCCTGTTGCTGACGCGCGGCCGGGAGGCACTGCCAGCTGGCTCGGACACAGCGCTCAAATCCAGAGCCTGGAGCCGCAGCACCAGCCACCTCCCAGCAGCTCCGCAAAGACCGAGACGCCAACAGCCTTGTCCCCGGCCCAGGAATTCACAGTGCTGTGAAGCTTCCCGGAGTTGCTCCCCTACAGCTGCCCCAGCCTTTCCCACCCGCTGTGGGCAGACGCCAACAGCGAGCACGTTGCTGCACGTGTCCCTTTCCTACTTAGCACCCCAGCAGTTACAGCCCTGATCCAGGCGCAAGTTTAGAATCAAGTGGCCGTGCGTGGGGCCAGGGCAAGTAACGTTTTAGTCGCTGGAACAGAGTCCTTGGCGCTTCTTCAAGGCCATAGTGATAAGGGCCACAAAAGCCGTGAGCGCTGTCCTCCTTTCTGAGGGAGGCAGCAGAGAGTTGAGGTGTGTTCAGAGGCAGCTGAGCTGCTTTTGTCACCTCTCAGCCCCTCCATCCCTCCGCTGCTCTCCCTGCAGAGCTGCTGTGCGCTTCCCAGTTCCTTGCTGTGGGTTTAACAGCTGCTGCGTTCCCGGGAGAGGCCTGAAAGGCTTGAGAGCATCCCGGGATTGTGGCGGTGGCGTCAAACGGCTCCTCTCTGTTACAGGCATCTCTGTGAGCAGCCTGAGCGACAACCTGTTTGTGCTGCACGTGCACTGCGAGGACAACAAGCAGAAGGTAGCAGGACTTGCTTGATTTCCCCATCTACTGCTAATAAGAATTAGGGCAGGGGGGAAGAGAAGATCCAGCTCAAAAAGTGCTGGTGGGGGATGATTCATGGCTGAGCAGCCCCTTTACCTAACCTTGTGCCTGCTCTAACTAAGATTTTATTTTTCTTTTGCATTTACACTCAATTCATGGGCCTTACCATGGGTCTTACCCATGAATTGAGCTATTCCTTGTCCTGATTATTGATAACACGTCAGGACCTGGGTAGTAGCTCTAGCTGCAGAGTGTGATGAGAGTGACACAGAGGCCCTGGACAACTGCAGCACCCCCATCCATGGGCTCCTCTCCTGCAGAGATGGTTTTCTGTTAATTCATAATTACTACGAATGATTTTGTCGTCTAGTCTGTGAAAAGCCCCGACTGCAAACGCTCATTGTGGGTTTCCCCTCGCAGGGGGATGTTGTGCTTCAGAGCGACCACGTGATCGAGACGCTAACGAAAACAGCGATGCGGGCGGACAAAGTCAATAACGTCAACATCAATCAGGGAAGGTGAGCAAAGCCGGCCGGTTTTCTTGGGTTTGTTCTGAACAGAGGCTCTGCTTTAGCATTACAGCGCCAGGAAACCACAACCAGGGCTCCGTTTCGTCAAATGAGCTGATCTCCCTGCAACCCAGCATCGATACAGAGCATCTCTTTATAAGGAAGGCGATAGAAGAGGTTGACGTTCACACGTGCTCAGTCTATTCTTACCTTTCTCTTTGCAGCATCAAATTTACAGTGGGGCAAGGCAAGGAAGGCATCATTGACTTTATATCGGGATCAGAACTGCTTATAGCCAAAGCCAAGAATGGCCACCTAACCGTGGTGAGTAGGGGCTCCTCTTGCCGAGCGGTGACCGTTCACTTGCAGGGCGCTTGGAAGGAAGCAGCGTTTCCAGTTTGTTCCCAGCGTGGCTCTCCTTCCTAGCCCGTTTTCCTGCACCATGCACCTAGGTAGAAGCTTTGAGCACAGTCACAGAACGGGGACACGAGCGAGTTGGCCGCAGGCCCTTCTGGCCTGGTGGTTCCCCCCAAGAACAGCCACGTCCAGTTCCCCAGACTAGAGGGAGCTTCACTTACCCTAGTGTAACACGCAGCTTATTCCTACCCCAAGGCTGGGGCACCAGCACATAACAGCTCCAATTGTCACAGCACCTTCTTCAGGGCCGTTTCTAGCTCGTCTTTCTCCTGCAGGTTGCTCCTCGTTTGAATTCTCGGTGATGAAACGTGCCACGAGACCACGGCCCTTGCCATGGATCAGCCCGACTGCACCCTCGACAATTGGCTGGACAACGTTCCCAGCAAAATCCCCTTTCCTTCCTCGCTTTGCTCATTTTGTTTATTGTTACCAAAGACCTGCACTTTCAGAAAAACAAAATACAACTTGCTTTCTTGTCTTAATCTGAAAGTTCCAAAAGAAAGGCCTTCTCTTCCTTACCTTAGTGGCAAACACACGGGTCCAAGGCACTGTCTGTGAAACCGCAGCTCCCGACCCCTGCCTGCTGCGCTGGGCTTTGAGGGAGGTAGCTCTGACTCCAGGAGAGTTTAAGCTCTGATGGAAATGACCAAAATTTGTGCTTCTGTCATCAACTAAAAAAGCACAATCGCAGGAGACGAGTACTGCTGCCACGGTCAGCCAAATCAGTGAGATGCCAAACTTTATATTCAGAAAGAATGTTTTATGAAGAAGTTTGCTCTGAGACTTTTTGATGCTTTGTGTTACAATATTAAAGCCATATTGTGTAAATGAGTAAAAACCTGTAAATACTTTATAGCTAAGTATGAGAGAGATGCACTACAAGAAATGGAGTTGATGTGGAAACTTTGTTTTGGATTTGAATTTTATGTTGTTTTTAGTTTATGACTAGAAGGTGTTAAAAGTGAGGATCCCCCTTATGTAACTTCCTCCCTAATCTCAATCCAGGAACACTTGTTTTTAAGGCACCTCTCCCTTTCTTGCTCTATGATGTTTTTATACTGCAGTAACTTTTTCATATCCACACATCCAAACAACAAGTACCAACTCCAGGAGGTCTCCCCTCCTCTTTCCCCCGGGCTGGAACCGCAGCCCTTGGGCACAGCACGTGCACAGCAGCTTCTCTCCCACCTTGTACCTGTCTGGAAGTGGCACTGCCCCTTCCCCTCCACTCAGAGCAGCACCTTCCCCATGGAGGCTTTTCCTCCTCTTTATGTTTTCAGGGATAACTGGAAGTTTGAGCTCTCACAGTAAAGCTCCACCGTGTTTATACAACCTCTCCATACTGCCTTAAAGGGGGCGAGAGGGCTAGTTCAGCACTGCTGGCCTTGCCAACCAAACAGCTCCTGGCTCCTCTGCACGGAAGCATCTTCCCAAGCAAGCTGTGTCCCCGCACCCGTTACGACTCCGAGCCAGAAGGATTCGGGCTGTAGCAGAGGAAGTTGACGATCAAGCTCTTGTGTCAAGCAGCTGCCGGCTGCAGGTCGCAGCTCCAGCTCCCTCCCGAGCCCCAGACCCCAGCAGGGCTTTCAGCCTCCCCTCGCAGCCCTTCGTGGCCCCCTCCACCCGCTGCAGTAGCTCCAGGCTACACGAAGCGCCCCCAACACAGCCAAACCCGCTGCCAGCGACACAAGGGGGAGAGGCTCCTACTTTCTGGTTTCTGACATGACGCGGTATCAAACACTGCAGCAGGCCTGGAATGCTGTATACACTGTAGTATATATGCACACACCCCCCATACTACTGTATATGCTATAGTGTATATACTGTACAACGCTGTATACGCGATTATAACCTCAAGACTACGCTAAATAAATTTTTACAGTAAAAGCCACACCTTGTCTGTAGGTTTCCTCATAGCTCTTAATTTCTGAAGGGGAAGCGCTTTTTCCTCGTTTGCTTTTTCCCCTTGCTGCTCCTTGGACAAGGATCCTCTTGCAGCTGCATCCAGGAGGCTGCCCCAGGGCGCTGGGACGGCGCTGGCAGCGGCTGCAGCTGGGAGAAGCACGGCCCGCAGCCACACATGAGACAGCCCGTTTGGCTCTCGCTTGCTCTTGGGCTCAGAAAATTATTCCTGCTGAAATAATTAAAAGAAAGTCATAGTAGTATTTGGCATTTTTAATTTAGGTTTGTTTTATTTAAGTTTAATGTTAATTCCATGCTGTGTTTCAGTAAGAACAATACAGATTCTGTATCTGTGGCTCCAGTCAGATATCCAGTAGTACAAATTAGCTTCAAGTTACACATACTGAACAAAAGAGGTTGAGCGAGCGAAGGGAGATGGGGAAAGGGGAGGGAGAAAGAAAAAATATTGAACACGCATGCAGGCTTATCAATGCCACCTTCAATGCTAACCTGCTTTGAGGAAAAGTAAAGAGTAGGCAAGAATGAGCAGCCACGGATTGTTGAACTGTTACCAGCACCATGTTTTTCAGCAACATTTGAGCAGTTTGGAAACTTTACAGTAAAACCACTACAATGTGTCCCAATGCAACCTGTAACTTCAAGCTAAACACCCAATTAAGTTTAAACATTGGTATAAAATTCAGTTTAAACAGTTATAAAAAAGAAAAATGCCACCACATGCGCGCTACCATGCGAATACAGATCTCCCCTACAAGTCTACCGGCCTCCAGATGTAACGTTCACTGCTAAGGGCGCCCTCCCCACATCTGGCAGAGGACCATACAGTAATGCTGAAAGAGCCTTTACAAAGTCCTGTTAGTGTCTTAACCTAAAAGCTGGCACCAGTAAAATCCACAGAAATTCACTCTTGCCTTTAAGAACTTTTAAACTGTGTAAAAAAAAAAATAAAATAAAGAAACCCAACAGGGCAGGAACCTAAATTCTGAGACCCAATGTAAAAGTCAGATTTGGTGGTTCTCAGAGTGACACTGAGGGATTTTGTGGGGAAGGGGGAGGGTGGTCAGAGATGGGTTCTCTTGTTGGCCTTTGTGTCTCACTGGTTTTCATCTTCCACATCCTGCAGCGCTTCTTTATTCTGTTCTTCACCTACAAGAGGTTTTAAAAGTAAAAAAGAAAATTTTAAAAAAAGAGATCAGCAGAATGGCTCAACAAGTGTCTGAAGATTAATAGTTTCATGCAGTTGTACACACGCTCGCTTGCACACTTGCAGGAACAGCTCACACGCACGCACTCATGACACAGCCAGTCCTGAACTGAAGCCCTTCCATGGACATTTAGCCTTGTAATCAACTCGCCACGTTTCATGAAAACAGTTATAGCACAGGCTATTAGAACACAGACCCTGGCGTAAGGACAAACAACAAACCAACACTGCTGAAAAGTAAAACTCTGCATATGATCAAATCAAAGATGTACAGCCGAGACTAAGTTAGCAGAATGGCTGCATATCAACATCCTTACATCAGAACATACCTTTCATGAGAAATAACTGAATTTTTACACAGAGAGCTAAGAGCATCTGTGCACTAACAGTAGCAATAAAACCAAAACAGATTTTCAGACTGATAAGTTTTTTTCTGCCCAGGTTCATTTAGTCTCAACAAGAGTAAAATACTACAGCCCATTTTGGAAGATGACAGTGATGGTGTGGATTTAGTTTACACAAACAAGTATGAATAAGCTTCTATACTTCACAAGTTGAACATGACAAGAAATCCTAGATTTGAGGTTGCTAAAGGAGAATACTTTGTGGAAATTTATTTCTTGAAAGAAGGTCTGATCAGTTTGGAGGTATTTCACTAGCCTGCAACATGCAGGGAAAAGGTTTTAATGAACAGACTCATCAAACATCCAGTTTTACTTCAGTTACCTCTACCCAGAGGCAGGCAGTGCTGCCCACACGCAGCTCTGCCAGAGTTCTGCTGCACCAGGAAAACTTCAACATACTTGAGCTAGTACCGTAACACATGCAAGACTGGGTTAATTGATAGAAGAAACTGGAGAATGTTTTCTTTACAATTATCCTTAACCATGTGAGATGGTATTGCCTTAAGGGCAATCAATAAACTATCCACCCCAATTAGTTTGAAATAAAATCCAATCAAATGAGAACAATGACTTTCAGCATATAATCAGAATGCCTGCTGAGAGCATGTCCAGATTCAGCATTATCACCAGCTACAATGCAGGGTATATTTGAAGGGGTGGCCTAGGAACATAAGACCTAAGACATCATCCAACAACAAAATCAATATTTAGAATTACGTAACAAATTATTTAAGAGAAGGAAGCAGAGGCCCTAACCCAGGAAGATGATTAAAAAGATCTGAGCATGCTCTAGCCAATGCACTTATGCAAATACTCCTATAGCAGGCCATAGTGAAAATGCTTTTCATGCCCAAATATTCTAAATATCCATCCAGGTGTGCAGCTCAATTATTAAATGTTTCAGTTCTTTTGGATCTCAGTTATGCTTATTTTGACCTGGATAGGAGTAACAGGTCACCAGCTGGTTGAATATTGCTTAGCCCTGGAATGGAGTCAAAGATACAAGCAATTTATGAGCAGCAAGAGAGTGAAAGAGGCAAGCATGATTAGTGATCAGAAAACTGACGTTGAAAAGTTCATTGAGCCATGACAAAGACTTACAAAGTAGAGTTTTTAGGAAATGAACAGTTGGACTTTCCTTTAGGAATCTATATAGCAGGAAAGAAGGGGAAAACAGGAATCATGAAGACGACATCACAAGCGTGAAAATTAACTCAACAGCTCGTCTATGATATGGTTAGAAGATACAATAAATGAGATGGAGAAACACAGCAGCTCAGTAACAGTTGCCTTAGGAAAGTCACTGCCTACAACCTGCACAACGGAAACGGACAGAAGCTTTATGCAAAAAAATGAGCCATTTCTGAATCTTTTTCCTCTTAAACTAGTAATTGTGACCATGTTTCTGAATATCATTACTAACATTAACTGTCATAGGTCATCACAGGCTTTACCTAATTTTAGAAGTAACTGCAGAGTTCTGAAAGCAGAAGTTTTAACTATATGAAGTCAACATATTAGCAAGCTATGAGTAAAAGGATGGAATAATTACTTGTGTGCAAATATTAAGCTAAACATCAAATTCTTTGTGGACAGACACAGCAACATGATCTTAAATAGTATGGTAGTTTTTTGATTGTTTTTAAGTTTACAACAGTTATCTTCACAGCAAGTATCGGAAATGGAGTAGAATGACCTGAATTATTTCAGAAAGGACAAAGTGTCTGTCTACTATACTATGGAACCAGTGATGAAACAACAAGTTTGGACTTAGGTATAAAATGAGTTACTACAAAGTCTCTGTAAAGGCTTCTTGGCTCAAATTGCAGAAATTAGACAAAGGAATAATTTCCGCCAATTGCAATAAGGAATGCATCTAATACCTGCAGTATTTAGAACAGTGTCTGCACTGAGCCAAATACAGAGACTGTATGCGTAAGGATAATTATATGGACTTGTTACGATTTGTAAAATTACACCTACAAAAGCAGTATGCAGTCTCTTGCAAGAAACTCTGCACTGGGATGTAGGGTAGATTAAGAGCCCAGGCCCAGCACACTTAGAGCTTCTTCCAGTTCATAGGACTGTCAAAGCCCAAAGGCATAGGGATAAAGTGTAAATTGTGACACTCAATATTGCTTATTTACTTGAAGAGCTAGAAGGTACACAAATAAAAATCATACAAACCCACAGAACCTCGGTAGCCACATGGTAACAGAGGCAGTATGAAAAAAGATTCTACAATTGCTTTCAAATAGGAGACTATAACCAATAAAGTATTTCAGAGCAGTGTCATGCAACTACATGACTATGCTTCAAACAGTTTATACCACAAAAATATCTAAAAACATTTGTTTCTTCAGAAATAATCGCTCCTTTCTTCAGAAATTATTCACATAAAAATCAAATTGGAATATTGTTTCAAACCTTGCAGAATACATATGTACCTAAATATATTCTTAACAGGATTGAAAAGTTTTCTCCAAGTTAAAAACAAAGCCAGTCATATCTCTCTACCTGTATAATCTTTCTAGATAAAGAACGTTTAATTCACTGATACTACTAGCCAGTAAACCAGGCATTAATGCTAAAAAAAAACTTAAGTGACAGAGAAAGTTTATACTCATTCGCGTCCCTGAAAAAAGTCAATCTAGAAAGTGGAAAAAATAAGCCTTTTAAGTAACTATGAGATGCTAGTAAACAGAAGCAATCTATGTCTCACGCACAGATATACTGCCAGAAGACACATTCAGCATTTACTAAGGCAATACTCTGAGTCATTCACTGGGAGCATAAAGTGGACTACACCAATACCAAAGGCACTTCTAATGTCCCAAAAAGCTAATTAGATTTCCACAACCAGTAATAGTAATTAGACTTAAAGATTGCCTTCCTTTTTCCTCTTCACATTCATGCTTCCCAAGAATGGACAGTTATGCAGTTATGTAAAGTGCTCTAAAGTAATTAGCACAACAGTAGAAAGTCATCTGCCACTGAAATGTCTACAGAAATACTGAGTGACATTTGCAAGAACTTTCTCCTGCACTGCAGGTTCACACTAGATTATAATGACAACTGTAGGGCAAATATCACAAACCTCAAGAAAGAAAAACTGCATTAAATGAAGAGTTTCTACTACACTTAAAGCAGTCACTGATGAAACCAAATATTCATTCTAGAAAGGGGGGGTAGTGAGGAGATGTTAGTAATTCCCCATCTTCTCCCTTCAGTTATGAGCTGAAGAGGCCTCTCAAAACAAATGGTGTCACTGCTATCAACTTATCCAGCGTTAAGAAAGGACAGAAATTCTGAAGGCCATCAGGAAAAGCAGACAAAACTAGTGAACACCAAGCTGGTCTACATTTCCATGCTTTGCTTTTTGTTTTGTTGGAGTTGAGTTGACCATGACGAGGTGTTTTGGGACAGGTTTACTTACCATCACCCTGCATGTCTGAAGTCCATAGTGTCAGATTATCACGTAACAACTGCATGATAAGTGTAGAGTCCTTATAGCTTTCTTCACTCAGTGTATCCAGTTCTGCAATAGCATCATCGAAAGCTGCTTTTGCCAACCTGCAAGTACAGAACACATGAGATCTAGAAGCATACTGCTAAAGAGAATCCTGAAGTACACAAATTAAATCTGTATTACAGAACATCTATCTTCTAGTTTGCCTATGTGACATTTTAAGCTTTATTTTTTTTCCCAAGGCAGTGCTAGATGTTTCCCTAAATTTCTCAAATTTTCACAACTGGCCACTGTAGGTGCTTATCGAAAACAGGATATTCAGGATTTTGTCTATAAAGCATTCCTGTATCTTATGATACAACTGATCAAGATCTGTTAAGAGCTTGAAAAGGTATCCATGTCACCCGCAGTGAGAGCAATAATAAAATGTAATTGCTTCAATCCGTATTTTTATGCTCATCAGCAAGCTTTATCCCTAAAGAGAAATGAGCTATTGTGGCTGACATATGCTCACAGGCCACGGAAATGCCTAGTAATGTGACCCCTGCTACCCTGCACCTTAGCCAACAGCCAAACAGCTAAGTTAAACTAACTCACCCTTTTGCAAAACAAGGGCACATGCAGTTAGGTGGCAAGCTGTCAAGCTGCCCTTAGTTGATCAATACAAGATTATTGCTATTTTGCTTCTCATACCTTATCTACTTTCAGATCAACAAACATGTCCAGATTCAAAGTTCAAAAGCTTTCTAATGAATGAACATCACACAGCATGAAGACATCAATTAGAAGCAAGCAAAAAGCAGTCCACTATTTTCATAGAATGCTCAAGGTTGGAAGGGACCTCTAGAGATCATCTAGTCCAACCCCCCTGCACACGCAGGGTCACCTAGAGCACGTGGCACAGGGCTGCGTCCAAGCAGGTTTTGAAGATCTCCAGAGAAGGAGCCTCCACAACCTCTCTGGGCAGCCTGTTCCAGTGCTCTGGCACCCTCACTATTAAAAAAAATTTCCTTAAGTTCCTGTGGCACTATTGATACTTCAGTTTCCAGCTGTTTCCTCTAGTTCTGTTGGTGGCCACCAGTGAAGAGAGGCCAGCACCATCCTCCTCACTGCCTCCCTTGAGGTACTGCTAGACACTGCTCAGGTCCCCTCTCAGCCTTCTCTTCTCCAGGCTGAACAGGCCCAGCTCCCTCAGTCTCTCCTCATAGGGCAGATGTTCCAGGCCCCTGATCATCCTCGTAGTCCTGCACTGGACTGCACCCTGCGCCCCTGCGGGGACACCACTAACCACAGGCCTCCAACTAGACTCTGCACTGCTGATCATCACCCTCTGGGCTCTGCCATCCAGCCAATTCCCAATCCACCTCACTGTCCACTTGTCTATCCCACACTTCCAGAGCCTGCCCAAGAGGATGTTGTAAGGGATGTTGTCAAAAGCCTTGGTGAAGTCAAGATAGACAACGTCCATCGCTCTTCCCCTCATCTATCCAGCTGGTCATTCCATCTTTTTGTTAAAAGAAAGCAATTACCCGAGTCACAATCACTTTTGGCTTATTTGGTTATCATGCAAGATTTCTCTGTCTTCTGATTCACCACTTACCTGCAGGCACGATCAGGAGAATTAAGAATTTCGTAGTAGAATACAGAGAAGTTGAGAGCAAGTCCTAAGCGGATAGGATGTGTTGGTGGGAGTTCTGTCATTGCAATATCACTAGCAGCTTTGTAAGCCACCAAGCTATTCTCTGCAGCCTCCTTCCTGTCATTTCCTGTGGCAAATTCAGCCAGATACCTATGGTAGTCCCCCTTCCTGAAAACAGGAACAGAACAAGCAGTCATTAGCAGTCCCTGATTTCCACACTACTAAACAGTCTCCTTAGCCCTGAAATCGATATTTATACATCCACACACTTAAAGGGTCATCCTAATTACTATCAAGAAAATAAATACTGAGGCATTAAGTGAACTTAAAAAAAAAATGAAGTATGATAAACACTTTGGTTTCAGCTATTTTACTCCATTAACATAGAATCCCAGGGTATTAGTGCAGAAACTGCAAAAGTATCAAAGCTAGTGGCTACAGCAATATACTCCAAGAAAGTCCAGTGTGATTTGAAAATGCAATTTGGAAACTAACAAGACAGCCATCTACCCCCTTTGCTTTTTCATCACAGAACGTGTACAGTTCACACTAAAAATAAGCAAAGAAGTGACCTCTACCTTATCAGTTCAATTAAAGAAATAGCTTATATATAAGAGCTGTGCAATAGCTTATGTGAAGATCTGCTGACCTTACACCAAACTGGTGTCTCCAGCCCTTCTTTCTGGGCTCACACTGTCAAGCAGGATGCTAAGCCCACCAGCTGTATTCAAAGCAGGAAACTAGCGAGACATGACTGAATTACTTTTTCCAATAAATTACTATGATTGAGTGAATCCTACAGACATATATATATATACACACACACACACACTCTGCTACTTTCTGTTACTTAGTCCAGATACAAACAGGATGTCCTCATCTCAAAAGGTAGCACTTACATTTTGTAATAGAAAACCTTGGACTCGCCAGTGTTCGCGGCTGGAATGAGGTGTTTGTCCAGTACATCCAGAATGTCACAACAAATTAACTTCAGCTCGGTCTCAACCTAAAAACAAACAAAAGAGAAGAGATTAGTATGGAAGATTCAAATTGTTTTATAAATACTCAATATCCAACAGGAGAAATTGTAACAATCCAGGAAGAGAAAAGAAAGAAAAAGTGCAGAACACACATTCAGCTGTTCCACAGATACATTAAGCAAAGCAGTACTGGGTAATTAGCTGCCACACATTAAAAGAGGCGAGGATTTATGTATGATGAAATGCAAGTTCAGCTAAAAGAATAAATTCCCTGGAAGATACGTTTCTAGAAAGTTAGATTAGGTCTGTCTCAGGATGCAGCTGCTGCCAGACTTGCAGCTAACGCAAGACTTGCCTAACTCCCAACTCAAATTTTTGATCCTGGAAAGCAACCTTAAAAGTGACAATGGTAAAAGGGACATTTTCTAGGTAATTATTTAATTATTTCAAGTCAGCTAGACTTCATTCCATCCCACTATTAAATAGCATCTTCAGAACAAAGTTTCCAATTATTACTTGGGGAACACAGCTAAGAGAAGCTTCCAAGACAGCCTCTCTTAGAACACCACAAAGGTACACCACACAAGCAAAATGGTCAGATATAAAAGGCAAAAAAGCAGCTGAGAAAAGAGAAGGATAAAATGTCAACATTAACAGACCAGTGGCCAAAGAAAACCAAAATATAAGCCTTCTTTAAGAATAACTATTGGATTTTAATAGCCAAAATTGAAGACTTTGTCACATTACCTTCGTTTATTCATTTTACCTTGAGAAACATAAAACAAGTCTGTGAGATTAGGTGTCAAGAAAAGTTTCAGGCCTCAAAGCAAAGGAATTACATATATCCAAAAAGTTAAAAATTGCCTTCCAACAAGCATCAACAAAACCAGACTTGCTGCAGTTTGTGGAAGAATTTTCTCTACTGAGCATCTCAAGTCACTCACAGTAACAGGGCCTGGTTTAACATAGATAGCAGTTGATTGCTGCTCTCATGATTTGGCAATGATTTTTCACAACTTTAGCTGAAATCTATTCTGGCTCAAGCTACTTCTAGGTACTGTAAAACAGATTTAAAAAACAAAACAAACAAACAAAACAAACAAACAAACAAAAAAGGCAACACTACACACACACATCTGTATAGGTAACTGCAAGTCTCTGATCACAAGAACAGCCATAATCAGTCCATTACCCCTTACCTTTCCTCACCTCAGTTTGCTTTCCCTTGCACATTTTTCCTGCTATGTAATATTCTTTATCACTAAATAGCTCCAAAATTGCTATGGTTTGTAAACAAAATAATTAGCCTCAAAAGCTAGCAATCTGAAGTTACAGACACAAAATTTTAATATTAAACTGGCAGGTACGCACATACTTATAAATAAGAAGCATCTTAGCAATTTTCAGCAGTTCCTTTAGAAAGCTTAATCTACAGCAAAATTTGTACATAAACAACATCAGAATGCCCTAACATTCAAAGGAAGGTTTAGATTCTACACTTAAGTTACAAAACAAACGCTTAAGGAAAGTACTGATACATGGCCATTGGAAAAAAAGTCTACTTCATAAATTCTTGGGCTACAAAAGCTATGAAACCTTTGCCAGCAGCCAGTTCCTGCAAACTTCTTTCCTCTTGATCCTCTTTTTCAATGACTTCTTGCAGAGAGATCTTCAGCAAAACTGCAAAGAATTAAATCAGTTTCTAATCTTCTTTTGTTAACAAATGTACAAACTTCCATTTCAACTCAGACAGTCCTTTTTCAGCTTTGCTTAAAGCATCAGCCACACAGACAAGTTATCATAGATCATTCACTGCCCAAGGCAATTTAGACACCCTGACCTACCCTATTTTAAGAAGATTTAATACAGACTGAGTTGATAAAAAAAAAACACTACACACACACATTAAGACCCCTCATACAGAAAGCATCTACTCTAGACAATGATTCACTAAGAGCCTGCACAAGAGACTGATCTGAGCTCGTTGAGGGCAGTTAACAAGTAAGTTTTAGGCCCTATCAAAATTTCTACTCTGCACATGGCATAGTGAACTACAGGCTCTGACTGGCAAAGAGAGACAAATCATCCCGAAACCCACATTGCTACTCCCACGATCCAGCCTGTCTCTATTTTAGTGGCAGCCCTGCCTTAAGCAGATTCCAGGCTGTGTTCTTAGCTCTGCAGGTACAGAAGCTTTGTAATACCACCTGGTGACTTAAGTAAGGAAGCTTATTAAAAGTAGCCAAGGGAAAAAGTTAATATACATACATGTTTAACCTCTTTACACGTACCCCCCAAAACAGCTGCATATCATGACTGATGTGCAATCTGAAACTACGAGAAATGGAGTTGTTAAAGCCTGTACACTACCTGCTATTAACACAAACATACACTTAAGTCAACCTGACACATACGGATGAAGGAGAGAAGAGACCCCTGCAGCTGCCCCACAATATATCACTCAGGTTATAAAATCAGAACACTAGAAATGTTCACAGCCTATGCAATGAATACAGGCCAATAGGATGATGCGTGTCCTGTGCAATTCAAGAATGCATTAGATCCTACTACAAGGAAGTGACTTGCATTTTGTGCTGGGACATTCACCACCTCATCTTTCCAAGCACAAGCAAAGAAATCCTCACTGCATGTTCTCATTCACAGAGGTATAGTCAGATGAGAGCAGGAAAGCCAGAGGCTCCACTTCGATGCATTTCCAAAAGGCCACTGGATTCAGAAAAGCAGCCTGCTAGCAAAGCAAGTGGCATTTTCCCCCCAAGGCTTTTTTGTTTGTTTGGCTACATTTAAGTAATGATCTGGGTAATGATACAGGCTGGCTTCTTCCATCACTGCTCAGGGTTGCTCTACATATGTCCCATACTGAAAGCCATCCTAGTCCTATACTGACAACACCACCACTCCTCAAAGCCTGCCCCAAGACATATTGGATAGTAGTTCAAACATTTGAAATAAAAGTCATGGTCAAAATCATAACATAAATACTGATGTGGACCAAAATCTCAAGTATTTACTTTCAAAAAAAAAAAAAAAAAAAGCTACTTTCCATTCAAGTCAAGCAACAATTTATAAGCGTGAAAGCCCAAACCAGTTTGGGAGAGGGTAGAGAAGTGGCAAGTGAAAAACATCTTTTCCAAAGATTCCTCTCCCACTCCTCCAGCACTTCAAGCTTAGCCTATAAGTCCCAGACAGAGAAGCATTTTTCTTCAGCCCAAGGAAGACTGTCCAAACAGCACTGAACTTTACTCTGAAAAATGCCATACCATGCCAATGGATATCTGTTGACATGGAAAGTAAGCAAAACTTCCATGTAAAAACAGAAGCACTCAGCATGACAACAGCACAGCTCTGCTGCACATCTTGCTTTAGCATTTACAGCAAGTCAGGAGTTTCATCCAAACCTTTGCATAAGTTCTTCAGGCCCTGAACTCTCCAAACCTGTCCTGACAAGTCTCTCCTTACTGTGAGTTAGTATCTACTCTAAGTTTTCCAACAGCTACTGCGAGGAAGATGGTCTTAAGCTATAGCTGGTAAGTATTAGCCTCTGGGGAAACTCAGCCCAGAGCTAAGTAGTCTCTCTCCTGTATGGAAACACATTACAGGTCTCCACAGCATTCTTCCACCTAAAGCCTATATTCACCCTACAGCAACTCCTGATGGGTGCTTCCTTTGAGAATTTGGTAGCTGAAGATACTGCTGGCAGGGCACAGCACTCCATGCTATACATAGTCCTTGAAACAGCATACGTAGATCTTGCACACCAGCCTGTTCTGTGCTATACTTCCCTCAAAAAGAGAACAAAGCCTCGTTTTAACATCCCTTCAAAGTAATATAAATCTTCGACATTAAAGGACCTTTGTCAGAAGATACTAACTGCCCACAAAATATTAGGTAAAAAAAGTTTCAAGCAAGTAAACTGGAAGCACGCAGTGTACGGCAAAATTAAAGAATATTAGATTCCCAGTACTTCTGTACTCTGTTAAAAGGCTTAGACAGTCATCAAGAAAACAGTATTTGCAACTAAGCTAGATAGTATGAAACTGGCAGAGCTTCACCTCATATGCATATCAGCAGAACTAGAAATTTGTAACTAACAAATCCATGCAGCAACAAAAAACACCGAGTTTAAAAAAAAAAAATTCAATGCCAGTATCATTGCCATGGGTGGTTTAGGAATCAGTGCCAGATGGTATAAAGGACTTTGCCTCCATATGGTTCACATCTTCACTTTCAGAGGAAAAGCACTTATCCCCAAATGACAGACTAAGTCTCACTGCAGAGGAGTGCAGCAGAACTTAAAGAGCACAGGAATATGCCTCCTCCAAAGGGCAAGGGATGATGGAATGATAATGACTCACTTCTCTAAGAGGTGAGGATTTCACTAGCCCTTACTGATAAAAGCCAAAGATTTCTCCAAATTCCCTGTCAAGTGAATTACAGAAAATGATTCGGATCACCACAAAGTTATCTGAACCATTTTCCCCCTCCTCTTTGAAGCCAGAGAAAATAGCAAGACCTTGGAGGCTATGACACATGCAAGTTTCACAGCCATGACATCTTAACTTTTCCCTCAGGAACATATAGTGATTAACCTTAAATTGGATGCCTGAGTACTATCAGTTTAAGTGACCAGTCTAGAGATAAAAAATCTGTTTTAAGAACTAAATGCTGTCAGAGAGTGGATATTATCCCAACATTTATTTCAAGACAGGCATTGCTGTCTGAGCTAGTAACAGGTCTGTCAATTCAATTATACTAATCCTAGCTAGGTAGCTATTCTCCATTACCACCTAACTGCAGAGTACTCAGCTTGCAGCAACTCCTGCAAAGTTTTCCTTTGCAAGGCAGAGTAACAAACAGGATCAACATACAAGAAATCCAACTACCACAGTGGGAATAGATGCAGAGAAAGCAGATGATCTGAATATAGTGCTGCTCTTTATGCAGAGAGAAGATACTTCTCTTAATATTTCAACATGTTAACCATGTTACTTGAATTCCATACTAGTTCATGATTCCAGTTCACAGTAGTCACAAGCCCAGCAACAGTGCCAAGTGCCTAAGCTGGTATGCTCTAAAGCAACTTTCACCAGAAGTAGAGACCAGTTTAAGAGCAAAACACTTTTTCAGACATGTTATGCCATTAAAGCTGCTCAGTATAACTGAAATTAGAGGAAAGAGGTTTCCTGAATATGCAGCCTGACACTTGGGCAAGTTGCGAAGTCGGTTCGAATGCTGAGCAGATACGCAGGCATAGAAAGAAACCTTCCCCTACTTCTTTCTGGAGCTACTCTTTGGAGCACTTACAGAACGACATCCACTCTCCCTTTACCACCAAATACCTTCTCCAGATAGGGAAGAAAACTCTTCCTTTCAATATTATCATTCCATTAAAGACATTTGCTTCAGGCAAGCTGTAATACCATGGCAGTTTGTGATAATGTAACAAAACTGGGATCTAGCCCTTTTTAAAACCACATGGCATTATGCCATAACATCAACCAAGCCTTACCATTTGCCGATACTCCCGGATCATTTTTAATTTATCTTCTCCACCTTTGTTTTCTTCTTTCTGTTCAATGCTGCTGATTATTCTCCAGGAAGCTCTTCTGGCTCCAATCACGTTTTTATATGCAACAGAAAGCAGATTTCTCTCTTCCACTGTCAACTCCACATCCATTCCAGCTACTTTCTTCATTGATTCAACCATTTCTAGGAAGGAAAACAGTCAATTATTCTCACAGTCAAAGCATTTTAGAGCTTTGCAATAGAAAGTGCACATTATTATTAATTTCTCAAAATAGGTTCCTTCTTTTCATACAGTTATCTCATGCTTAGTGTTCAGAACAAGTCAATGAGTATAAACACAAAAGATGTATCTGACACACTATCAAAGAAAATGAAAACATAAAAATTCTTTCAAAGCAGAAAAAAAAAATGCAAGTCTATGTTAGTATTCAACATACTAAGGACAAACAGAAGATTTGCAGAACATACCACTGAGTTCCCAGCTAACATACAGCGCATTATGGTAATTAACAAAAATGTAGATTTTAATGTATGTAGAGAACTACTAATACTGTGACTAGGAAATCAAGTCAAAGTTCCAAGAAGAAATCACCAGAAGAAAAATGAACTGCTTGGAGAAGGAACAGAAAAATCATCCTTAGGTAACCAGAGTGATCATAGTTACCCCTGCCAAGCAGTTTTAGTTTAAGCCATTCGTAGAGACTTCTAAACTGGAGAGGGTGAGAAAGGGGCCACGAGGGAGTGATAGATTATTTAATACAGCATTCCAAAACTCAAGTGGAAGCAAAGGCCTTAACTACCTAAAGAAAGTTATAATCCCTTCATTATCTAATCACATTATGATTGCCTGTTATGTATCAGAAAAACGAAAACCAAAAGGATGACATATATCCCAGGCAAGAGACTAGTATGAAACATATTTCAGACCAACAATATTTTGTTTCCGTCATCATTTGCTTTCCAACTTCTATAGATGAGGATTCCACAGCCTCCTTAACAACAGCCTTTACTTCCTCCCTCTCAACTACCCTTATCTACTCTTAAGACAGTGTTTTGTATTTAGCTTCTGTCAATACTGTGGGAAAACCATCAGGCCATGTCTCCCCTAATGTGACCATCTAACAGGAGAACAAAGGAAGCAAACCACAGAAAAGTAAAGTTTAACTTGTCCACTTGTCATCCCTCCCCCACCATTTTACCTCCTTGGGAATATGTTCCACTGTATCATGGCAGCACAGGCAATACAAAACAAATGAAACTTAACAGCCTATTTTATCCTCAGGTGCCAGATCTTAAAGCATAGCAGGCATGAGCTGTCTCAGAACAGCAACTGTAGGCTCAATCTTTTTCCCTGAAAGGAAGAATGTTATCAGCCTCCAGCAGGTCTCCACATGTGTAAGCCAAAGTTTTTTCCAATGGCTTGATTCACTATCAGAAAGGTGGAGTGATATAATATGCAATTTAAATAATGACTGCTATAAGTTATTTACTAAAATCTATTTAAAGAATTTATTTCCAAGAGGTAACTTAAAGTGCAAGTTTAGTCATCCCAGATTCTGAAGTTTCTTAAAACAGCAGAGCTACATCCATAACGCATACACTGCTTGCCAGTACTCAGTTCTGGGAAGCCCTGCTTGCTGGAGTCCAACCTCTAGCAAGAAACACGTCTTGTCTTTAAGCTTAATGTTTAACAGCCATCAGATAAGAGCAATTGAAACTGCACTACAGTTTAAGAAATAAAGCTGTACTTGGGAACACACAGCCCTCTCTCCAGTCTTTAACCAGAGTGGATCAAGAACTTATCCTGTAGAGAAATACAGACAGTTTAAAGTTCAGGAAAAGTAAGGGATGCAGTCACATCATCCTGTTCACCTACTACATCAAGATCTTTTGTCTTATCCAGTATGATGCTATGCTTTAAATAAGCAGGCATGGCTTCAGTTACATGGCAAGTCTAACCAAGACCACATTAGCTTTGCTCCATCAGGCCTTTTTACGAAGTTGTTGCTCAATTTCCTCCGATTTTTTTTTTTCCTCTCAAGAAAAGGGTCAGTTTCACAGAAAAGTGAAGAACACCCTGTCTTACCTGATTACACTAGCAACCTTGAGCCCTACTGGTAATGTTGGGCAGGCATACAGCAAAACACCACAAAAGAAAAAAGTTTTTTTTAAAAAAAAAAAAAAAAAAAAAAAAAAAGATTCATGTTCTTTTGCGATTTACCAATTGGGATTAGCTACAGAGCTTTTAGTATATAACTTTGTATGATTGAAAACTTCCATACAAAACCTGTCTCCTAATGAAATAAAAGACAGTTCCCACTCAGCTGGTTATGAAATAACCAGTGTGATACATATAAACTATGTACTCTAGAATCCTGGAGACACAAAGCATGTAACCATTCCCACGTTTGATCACCTGTATCAGAGAACTGCAACAACCAAGAAAAGGAAGGAAAAAAAAGGCAACATTTACCAACTGTACTGAAGATCTTACAGTCTGTACCCTGGAAGCGAGTTCACTTATAAGATTAAAAAAATAATAAAAAAAAGCCACATAAAGACACGTTCCCTGCAAGCATCTGACCACACTCACTCACTGATCACACTCAAACACAATCCTACAACTTTAATCACTTGCCTAGCTTCTGCAGGATTTTATCTATCATTAGTCTAAACACCTATAAGCCCTAAAACAAAGATCCAAGATCTTTGCATAGTGGAGGACAAATCCAATTTAAGACTACCAACAGCTTTTACAAAGGCATGCCTGCGGAGCCAGAGTCTCAGACAGGTGATGTATTAAGCTTGCTGTCTCTCTCAGATGTTCTGCAAAGGTCAACAGTTACCATGTTCCAGAACCATCAAAAGAAACTAGAGTCAACTGCTAGGAACTAGCAGGAAAAAAACCAGGCCTTGTCACTCCCCCTAGTCTCTTATCCCACGAGCTGATAGTAAGACAAATACACTTTATGCCAAGGGGAAGCCACCAAAATACTGAAAGGTGTCTTTTCAAAAAGAAATGTTAGTTTTGTTACTAGTTGAATACATAAATACATGTTAGAATGTTCCCTCACCCACCCTCTAACCTTGAACAACCATCTTGCCTAAAGACAAAAGATTAGCATATCCATGAGAAAGGTTTCTGGGTTGGTAAGGAGCTCAGTTCTACTAACATACAAAACAAAGAAATCTGTATTCCAACAGGGCTAGATGATATTATGCATATAGCTTGGTATTCTACAGCAAAGTCTTGCCCTGAAACTTTAAGCCTGATGAATAGTATTAACAATTCAGGCAATGCAATAAGATGACATAACTGTATTTTTTTCCTCAATAAAGAATAATAATAATAAAGCAGTTAGATACAGAAATAAAGCCATATATGTCTGCAAACAGAGCAAGTATTTAATGTTCGGAGTGTAATTTTACCTCTCTGGAAGATTCCATAAGACAACAGAAAGCTTTAAGACCATTCACAACAAAAGCCAATCTGAGATTACCTTTCAGGAAGGAGGATTACTGCAGTAATGACAACTCATTGCATACACAATCCATAGACACTTACACTGCATTATGGAAAAGCAGTGTTATGCAGATTCAGAAAGACAGACTGTAATTTAAGTGGTTACATTCCAGTCTTGCAGTTGATAATGGCTGTCACCATATTATGGGTGCTGTCAGATCATGCCATCAGAGCAGGAAATCCCCAAAGTTTAAGTTATGGAGAAAGAATTGGAGAATGTTCTGGAGAAACACGTTTGCCCTAGATTTATGCTCTTCTCTAGAAATTTGCTGTTGGCTGTTTTAAGACATAACATGCTAAATGGATGCTTGGTCTGAACAGGCACTGTAGCTTTATATTCTTATGGAGAGAAGGGAGGGCATTTGACAAAACCAACTGCCCTCAGATACAGGCATTTTTCCCCCGCATTTTACTACTCCACTTAAGACGAAACATGAATTTCTGTGAAGATCAATAACATCTCACAGATATACTGCACCTTTGTGAATAAGTCAAGCATTTGGCAAGGAAGACATGATTGATATAGCCTATCTGGATTTCCCAAAGGCATTTGACAAGGTACCTCATCAAAGATTAAGGAACTGCCATAGGACAAGAAAGTAAGCACATAGATTCTGCACATTCCATCCTTCCAAGGAGCACATTCCTCACATGGATAGATACTTGGCCGAAATACAGGAAATAGGGTATGAATACAGGCTCAGCTTTCAGAATGGAGGGAGATGACCAGTGGAAAACCAGACAGAAATGCTGGGAAATACAATACCACTCACAAGCAATGCAAGAGGGGAAAAAAAAAAAAAAAAAAAACCCTCAAATAAGTAGTAACATCTTGAAACAGCAATCTGTTGAGATCAGTAAAGGCAAGGACTGAAAGAACCAAGGAACCTCAAAGTTTATCAAATCTTCATCTCCATACTTCCTCATGAAGTAGCAAGTATGGACATAATGATTTACTATTCACAGCCTATGTTCTCCCCAGATCTGCAGGCCTCCATTTGGTCAGCAGCCACCATCATATTAACTACAATGATTAGCACTGAACTCAAGACAAGGGAAAGATTTATTCTTTCCATCCATTAGAAGTTTTTGTTCTAAATACACTGCTATTACACTGCCCATGTTAGGTCCTTCTGTTCCCTTAGATTTGGGGGGCAGAAAGGAGGAAGGGATGCAAAAAAAGTGTCTTGTGCCTTTCCTTTCTGTCCACATCAACTCCCTCAGGCCACCATGCAAGATGTGCTTACATTTTAGAGAACCGGACTCATTCTAACGGTTGTACTAGAACTCAAGTAAGTATACGAGACAGCAAAGGAAGAAGAGCCATCCTCTATCAACAGCAAAGAGTTATCAGACTAGGTCATTCCATCTTTATTTTTTTTTAAAGCTAAAATAAACTTAATGTTTATTCATGCACATGAATTTCCCCACCTCAGATCTTCATATGCTTTCAGCACCCTAAACAAACTATTACAGACATGTGAAACTTGGGTATAACTACTAAGGTACTAAATATTGATAACCCTCCATAATAATATCCCCATTATAACGGGGATAATCTCCCTGTAAGTGATCTCCGCATGGTGTTACAATACATAAATTTAATTCAAAAAAAAAAAAATCCACGGAAGAATGAGGTATTTCTAGAGATTAAGGCAACCAAACAGGTAAGACAAAAACTATATAACAGTATCCCATTCTGTGTGGTGGTTCAGATAATGATTTTGTGGAGAAGCAGTGGGTCATACTGCTGTTGCCTTTACAAAGTTTAACCGCTAGTGCAGCCCTGACACTTCTAACATTTGATAATATACCTCTGCAACATACAGTCCTACAAAACATACTTGTACTTCTATATGTTCAGAGAAATGCACAGTTTAAGGCCAATTATCTATGCAACAGTGTTATTTTCGCACAATCAGTCCTACAGAGCATCAGAAGTATTTCCTGCAACAAGACCATGATTTCTAGGTCATCTCTACCATCACTTCCAGCTCTGAAGTCTCAAGTTTTTTTTTTTTTTTTTTTAAAAGGCATTTTTCCAATATTTAAAACAAACAAAAAATCTTGAAAGGAGACGTAGGCAAAGCTAAGGACCAAGTCTCATCATATATTTCTCTGCTTGATCAAAGTCTGCTTTTAAATGAGTTTCAAATGCAAGTATTCAAATAACATACTGGGTACCAACTCCATTTTTGGACTCTTTGCAGGGCATCAAACCATGTAAGGTTATAGGTTCATCTCCTTTGTTTAATCTGGTATTCAAGATTCAAGAATCTAGTTATGGAAAAAGGTCCTCTCTCAAACAACCCATCATGATCAGGATTTTTATGCTCCAAAATAAAAGCAGTCATAACCAAATTCCTCAAACACTTTCTTGCCCATGCCATTTTCTTAGGGATATGATTTTTCTTTTAGCACTTTCACTCATAGCCAATACAAAGACAGTAGTTACACTCAGTATAACCAGAACAGTAAAACATTTGACTGAAAGGTATCACTATTAACCACTAATATAGAAAAAAGCTTCAAGAGTACTTGATGCATTTGCTGAAAGAGACAGGTCCTCTACAAACTGAAATCAATATACAGCTTAAGTTCTCATTTGTAATGTAGAATCATGCTGGCTCAGTGATTGAGCTGTAATTTCCAGACCTGTTAACAATCTTTTAAACATTCAAACCTTGGATTCAGTCAGCTGATACACACTTCACCACCTCGGTAGTACAGATGATAGATTGCTTTTAAGAATATAGGAGGCAGCAGTTAACAACTATTTGGTAGGTCTCCTGACTTGGAACTCCCAATACGGCACATTTTCTTCACAGATGGAATTTGATTCTTAGTTCTCCTCCATCCCCCAAACCGGGCAATCAACTCATCAAAATTATACTTTATGCAAAGTTTGACTTATAGACGTCAAGACTATCAAAACCAGTGCCTAAAGCCCTAGTAGACTACTCTTACCACTGAACATCTCACATGACTGGAAGAGAGATGTTACCTACCTTCCACAAGGGAAAATAAGCAAAAAGACCTCTTTCTCCCACACCCCAAAACAGTTTTAACATTCAACTGTACAAAAATGCATATACCTACCCTTGCAAAAAGTCAAATAAGTTACTTTATTTCACATACTAACACAATTCTACCTACTCCAATCATTTTCCAAAATAATGGATTTTCAGCATAGTTTATCAAAGACAATTTATATCACATATTATGCTATTAAGAATGCTCTCTGCAGGAACAGCAGATACAGCATCTCATGAATTTGTCAGAGCTTTCCATATTATAAGCTAGTTTCCTGGCATTTTGATTTATCATGACACACCTAAGCAGATCTGTAAAGATAAGTCAGAAAGACACTCAAATCTCCTAATGTCTCTACTGATCAGGCCTCAAGTGTTATTTTCACTGCAGAAGCACGTAGAAATGCATGTCCTAGATCTGCAGCAATATGCTACGGACAATACAAATAAAGGGCTATGTTTCTACCTGTTCTCAGGCACATCTTTCAAGACTTCACAAATTTAAGTATATCAAGCAAGCATCTCCAAAGGAACTACTACAAGCTAGATGCCTACCATTAGTGCTGCTGTAAATGCCATGAAGTACATATTAAAATGGTGTTCTATACATATATTTTTATATATCTCCAGAAGTAAAAGGACTTTTTTTTGTATTAGTCCTAGAACCACATTAAGTTCTTCACCTTCTAGGACTAACACAAAAAAACTGTAATTCCAAGAGTACATCCAAGTTACATGACAGATTTGTATTCCTATATATTTGTAAGCAGTACTTACCATCATAGGATATAATATATTGCAATTACTAAGCATGACCTTAGAGTCGCATATCTTACAGACTACCAAAATAAATAAAAAAAATTAGAATTAACCTACACTTTCAACATACCTTCCCCAAACAATTCTGCTCACCTGATTATTTAACACTATCAACTACAATCTTTGCAAATCTACAGCATTTCAGCTGTATGTGTGTGTATACACACACATATAAAGGAACTAGATAAATATTTTTAATTGCTTCAGCTGAACAGGAATACAGAACTAGGTGCTAAACCATATTTACAATATATTGTCTTTCAGACCAGAACCAACAGACACAAAGACGTACTTGGAACTTGTGACGCTTAATTCCACAATTCCAAAAAACTTTACAAAATCTAAGCGAAAAAGGTATTATTTTATATGTGTAAACTGAAAAGTATACAGCTTCTTTAATGAGATCTCCTTCTACATTTTCATCTAACCAGACTGTTTAGCAAACACCCGGGACGGTGGTGTAAGAGAAAACCAACAGGGAAATGCTGCCCCAACTCAATCCCTACCAACTCATTTTTCCTAGCTAACAGGAAGTCTGATCTCTACACTGGTGTAGAGTTTGATTACTTTTTGAATAATAGGAATAATCTACCACTGATCCGGGAAAACACCAAAGACAGTTTTGCCTCAAAAGCTCCAAAAGATTATGAAACCTTTAGGATGCTAGTCAAGCATCCCACTTTGGGTTTCCACTCAAACCAAAGCCAACACTTCTGGTTTCACTAATTCATCTACACCTGCTGGAGAGCCCTTTTCCCCTCTTTAAGAGGAAAAAGACCCTATGAACAAAGAAACAACTCTAGGAGCTTTGTTGAAAGGGTCTGTTTTTCTAGTTGTTTTATTTTGCTGAAATGGATTATCCCACTCCACACTGTTTAGAGTAGTAATAACAGACTAACAAATATAAAGTAATTTGTTACTACTGGAAGTTGGGAGCCTTCTGTGCAATACTGGAACTGATGTCCACCCTTCCTGTACTCCCCCCCCATACCTTTATTCCACCTCCATCCCCCATTCAAGTCAGTCTCGTCCTAAGATCTTGTTTCAGGGCATTTTTTTCCATAATCCCTTCCAGTTATTGTGATAAGACCATTTAAACTTTTACTGTCATTTACTGGAATTCTTATTTCTTCCCCATTTCCCTAGCTGAATAGTCACAAAGAGAAAGTTCTCATTTAAGCCTTACTTTTTTTTTTTGTTGCACTTGATTCTCCTCCCCCAAAATGTGCATTTCTCTTACGCCTGAAAATAGCCCTATTAGAAATTTTCCAAGCAGTAACTCAGAAAATATGACCTAGTTCTTGCCAATTGATGTCGTTTTGCCATGAAAATGACAAACAAGGCAAGCATTTGAGGTGTCTTCCTACCTCTAAACGAAGCATAAGTATGTTCACAGTTTTTACGTACAAAGGTTTTTATTTCAGTTTATATGCATAAACCTAAGGTCTTATGTCAAAAGTAACTGTCCTCGGAAATTAACATCATCAAGAAAATTAGAGGCCTTTTCTACTAGGCGTGAGAGAAACAGTTGCAGGGCAGATATTTTAGACAAGAGACACCATCCCAGGTTGCCAGCTCAGCCCTCTCCCCTAGCACACTGGAAGCCATCGGGCACAGTGCTGGAACTTTACAGGAAAAAAAAAAATAAGAAAAAGAGAAGATAACGCTGTGAAACATGGTCTCTAGCAAGTTCCACCGC